CGTCGTGTCTTCCCCCTCCTCCAGATGCAGCATCCGCCAGGCTGCCTGGCCCTCCCCCTACCAAAACTGGCTGCTTTCTTCCTTCTTCTTCCCCCCCCCTCCTCTTTTTGGCTGAGCGATGAGCTGTATGCCAAATCCATCTGCTCCTGTCTCCCCTAGCTGCCTTCCATATCGTCGCAGGATCCCTGGCAGCGAGCCTAGACCTATCTCTCTCCCTGCACTCGGAGGAGCACATTCCTTTCTACACCTTTTCCCGAGCTGGGATAGAAATGAGTATCAACCCCAAACAAAAAGCATCTGCTTTCTGCCTGCTTCTGCCTCACCGGACGCGCATGTACGTTACACCCGTGTCAGCAGCAAATGCAAAACACACACAGCCCTGCTCACAGCCCCGGGCTGGTGGAACCGCCGGAGCCTTGCGCCCGCTCCCTCCCATCTCCGCAGCACCAGCTGTGACCACCGCACCATTTGTTCCTCCAGCCCACGCCAGCACTCGGAGCCAGTTCTTTATCACCCCAATTAGCCTTGTCTGTGCTGATGAGAAGAGGGAGGCTCCCACTGCAAGGCAGGGATGGGGGGAAGAGAGCTCGTGCCTGGTGGGAATCACCTCTCGCGGTGCACTCTTATGGCTTTGCTCCCCCAGCGGGGGTAGATTTCATCAGGTCAGCCTGCGTTACCTGGGGGATGCTGGGCTATAAACTGTTGATTAAATCAGATCACCATTTTTTGTTTTGTTCTTGCTTTCTTGCTTTGAGAAACGAAGGGCATCCTCCGACTCTCAGGTGTTGGGACGCTCTGCCAGTGCCTCTTTTCTGGTTGTGTTTGGAGATCCGTTTTGGCCATGTCTCCAGCGAGGATGTCCTTGCCTCTATAGCAAAGCTTTCAGTATGCTCTTGGGAAATGCAGCAATTGCCCCTTCCTCATGAGGAGAAGCTGAAGGAGCTGGGATTGTTGAGTCTGGAGAAGAGGAGGCTCAGGGGAGACCTTACTGCTCCCTACAGTGACCTGCAAGGAAGTCGTAGCAGGGGGAGAGTTGACCTCTTTTCCCAGTTAACAAGTGATATGATGAGAGGTAATGGCTTGAAGTTGTACCAGGGGACGTTCAGGTTGGATATTAGGAATTTTTTTTCTCTGGAAGAGTGGTCAGGCACTGGCACAGACTGCATAGGGAGGTGGTGAAGTCACCATCCATGGAGGTATTCCGGAACTATGGAGATGTGGCACTGAGGGATGTGGTGGTCAGTGGGCATGGTGGAGTGGGGCTGGCCTTGGGGATTCTTAGAGCTCTTTTCCAACCTTAATGATACTGTGATTCTAACATTATATCATCCCCTATGCTGGTATGCCAGGATAACAAGTGGTCAGTGCTGCACTGATGGCTGCATCAGCCTCAAAACCTTTTTTTTTCCCCCACAAACCAGCCCCTTCTCATCATTCTCCAGCAATGATCTTCATACACCACAACCATATACAACCAGTATATGTTTCCCCATATACTGGTTGTGAGCTTGGATCCCTCTTGCTCTTCTGGTGTCATTGTTGAAGACCCACTTCTTTTAGGGATCTTGGTGCAGGTCCTTTGCATCCTTTGACCCAGCACAAGTAGATCTTCCTCACTGAGAGGAATGGGTGGACACAGTTCCCATGTAGGTGCTCAGTTTGGAAGGACAGGATTGCCCCGTGTAGGATGAGACAGATCCTCTCATTCAGTGTAGAACCTGTTCCTTGGAGAACCATTCATGATTGCCATTCCCTGTTAGAGGAGTTGCCATCATGGTCATGATCAAGAAAGATCCTGGTGAGGGTCTTCTTTGAAGCTCAGGCACAAGAAACATGGCATAAAGGCCTCTGTGCTCTCTCGTGATGTCCAGAGGAAGGTTGACTGAGCGGGTCCAGGATGGATGCTGGGCAGCTACAACAGCAATCTGCACCAAAATATCAATTTCTAGCAGGAAACTGATGGACTGGAAGAATGAATTGTTCTGCATTTGATTTCACAGGATGAGAAATCAGTAATTCCCAGTGCTCTTATGAACAGATCTGCCAGTAGTGCTTTGTAACTCGTCCCTCCTGTGCTTGCCTCCTTGGTGGGGATGCACCCCTTGGAGCTCATGTAGCGTAGACTCTACAGCAGGAATTCCATATCTTTGTATCTGCTTTAGTGAAGTCAAACAGAAATGGATCTGCAGTCTGCTCCACTTCAACCAGTCCCTCTCCAGTAAAGTTATTTCACATCTTCCTAAGCTTCAGAAAGGGGCTGAGGTGAGCTCTGTAACACTCATCTCCGAACCAGCCTTTCTTGCTGAGCTTCATCTGATTTGTGCTTAGACTTTCCCACCTCAGAGCCACCAACCCTTCCTCAAACATCTGGTGGTGATACTTCACTCCTTCCCTCTTGGATGCTCTTTCTGCTGCCCAACTTGAGTCTTCCTCACTGCATTTTGAGTTGCGTCCCGTTGCAGTATGAATGGACCAATACGCTTTTTCTCCTTGCATGTGCCTACACCTTCAACTTCTCTCTTCTTGACTCAACACGTCCAGACCATCATAATTTCCCTGCAGAAATTGCTTCCAGACCTCTAATCTAGTGGGGCTTCCTTTGGAGAGCAAGTCCAACACTCATGGACCCAGAGGACTCATGTTGTGATTCTGTGGCTCTCCATTAGCTTTCTGTATAGACATCCCAACCAGAGTTTGGGTTCTGCTGTTCTGAGCCATCTCATGTCCCTAAGCCCTGCCAACTGCCATCCACCTGGTCAGGGTTGGGCCACCCAACTGGTCAGGGTTGGTCTACCCAAACCCAAGTCATTGGTAAGCTCCTCTCACCACAATGTTTTCATACTGGTGGGTGAAAACACCCAACTTCAGTGCCTAGGAGCTTTTCCCCTCTGCGTTTGGAAGAAGGAAAAGAAAACAATGGGAAGAAAAGCTGTGTCAGAGCCAGGCAGATCAGAGTTAATCCTCCCTCAAAATGGATCCTGTCAGTGCTGTTGGACGTGAGAATTGCCTCTCCTCTACCTTTGCTGGGTGCTCTCCCATCACAATGCTTCACTTTGTGTTTCGGCACAGAAAGAAATGGTGAAGTTGCTAATAATGGCACGAAAAGAAAATATGCTACATCTGTTATGGATAGCAGTACAAAATTAGCTGATCACACCTCTGACACCCAAGATGTCTTCACTTAAAATACTCGTTGGCTTACTTTACATAATTTGCTGATTATATTTAAAAGAAATACAATTTTGCAATTACTGTTCTTTCTGGTGTGCTATCTATGCATCATTTTCTTTTTATGTTTATATATTTCTCCTTCATTAGTGCAGTCTGAAGGGTGATTAGATCCCTTCAAACATTTTACAGAGGTTAAACGTTGATTAAGATTTAATTATTACTGTAAATAGCTTGGAATGACATATGGTGCAAAAACCTGACATATGTGCATTTGAATAAATGAAGTGCTATTTCCCATGATGCTTCAGTAGCTGTTTAACAGCTTTGCTGAAGGGTTATGTTGCACCTCATGTTAAGATTGCTTTGATGTTATATTTTGTTGGGTTTTTGCAGCTGAAAGCTAAGAACAGTTTTTCCAGTTTTTAAAAACATTGAATATTTTAAATACCTAAATTGTTTTGCACAAATTTTTGCTAATTTGTCTAACTAGGTTAAACATTTTCAAAAGCATTTCGATTTTTAACGTGGGCTCCCTCGCATTGTGTCAGCAGCAGCACCCATTCCGACACCATGGGATGGATGGGATTCCCCAAAGTCGAACGGCGTGAGGCTCCCCGTCCCATTTGGGCATGGGGACACCCAGCTCCTCCTGGGGACGTGGTGAAGAGCTTCCTGGAAATCCAGCTGGGAAAGTGTAGCGAGGGGATGGGAATTTCCTGGAGGTGGGGGAAGGAGCAGGGACAGCACACTGTGTTTCCCTGTTGTGCATCAGAGCACTTCCTGGCGATGCTGAGTGTGAGGTCCGGGCTGCACAAACGGCAGTGATGGGAAGACAGATGCTAGAATCATGGCATCATTAAGGTTGGGGAAGACCTCTCAGGTCATCAAGCCCAACCCATCCCCACCATGTCCCTCAGAACCATGGGCCTTGATAGGACAAGGGGGAATGGTTTTAAGCTGAGACAGGGGAGGTTTAAGTTGGATATCAGAAGGAAGTTTTTCACCCAGAGGGTGGTGAGGCACTGGCACAGGTTGCCCAAGGAGGCTGTGGATGCCCCATCCCTGCAGGCATGCAAGGCCAGGCTGGATGTGGCTCTGGGCAGCCTGGGCTGCTGGTTGGTGACCTGCACACAGCAGGGGGTTGGAACCAGATGATCGCTGTGGTCCTTTTCAACCCAGGCCATTCTGTGATTCTGTGATTCTATGATTGAACACCTCCAGGCTGTGGGAATTGGTCTCACACAGGTGACATCAAACCACCCAGAGTTCAGCTGGGACTCTTCTTGCTGGAAAAGTGCCGAGAGCCCTGACTTTGGAAAATGAAAGGATTTGACCTGGAAAATGGTGGGTGGGATCTGTGTACATTCTGTAATTCCTCAAAGATTGCCAGGCAGAGAGTGGCATCATTTCTGTGCAATGTAAGTCCATTTGAACAAGGGTGGTTTGAGGCTCAGTCGGAGTAAAGCACGTTAAAAACCCTGCTAAAGAAGGAGAGGGACTCTTTAATAGAATGTATTGAGAGAGGACATGGGGAAATGGTTTCAAACTAACAGAGGGGAAATTTAGACTGGGTATAAGGAATAAGTTGTTTACAGTAAAGGTGGTGAGGCACTGGCAGAGGTTGCCCAGAGAGGCTGTGGTGTCCCATCCCCTGAGACATCCAAGGTCAGGCTGGTTCTGAGCACCCGATGAAGCCGTGGGTGTCCCTGTTCATTGCAGGGAATGGGACCTGATGGCCTTGAAGGGTCCCTTCCAAACGTTTCTGTGATCAACGTATGGCTCTATCCATCTCCACGCTGCTGACCCTGACTTTGCCTCTGCTTCCACAGATCGAGACGTCTCGCCTGGAGCCGGAGATCGCCATGGCCACCCCCAGTAAGACCGTCATCTACAACAAGGGGTTGTAAGTGGGAGCTGCAGACCCCTCCACCCAGAAGGTCTGGGCAGAGAGAGGGGGAAACGTGAGATGTCGACTGGGAGAGAACGCAGCAGCGAGACGACACAAATCCTAGAGCTCAGCGATAGTCCTGCTGCTCCCAGAGAGCGGGAGTGGGGTAACACTGCTGGAGAACTGACACCTCTCACACCACTCGACAGAACTAACATTAAAAGTCTTAACTTAGCATCAGCCAGAAACTACATTCAAACACACTTTAGACCACTAGCAGAGGAATGATCTCTAAACTTCTAGCACTGCATGGAGGGAAGTTTACGGGATGGTTACATGGCTGTACCTAACGACACGGCAGTAGGCTTCACCCAGCCAATTTTGTTTTCGATGCAAATTAAATCACAGCACTGACACTGCACAAAAGTCATTCTGCACAGACCGACGGGTGCGTGGCTTTGAAGCTCTTGACAGGGTGTTTGATAAGTGTCTTGTATCGATTCCATGTCAGCACTGCCCCAGCTGCCACCCAGCACATCAGCAAGGGGTTCAAAGTCCTGGAAAGCCAACGTGCCCTGCATGGGATGGGATCTTTGTGCAAAACAGGTGGGGTTTGTCCTCTCTGTGTATAAGGCAGTCTGAGCTACCTGGGTAGGGTTCCATGAGGGATTAAGTGAAGCTGCTCCACTTTGAGTCCACGTGTCCTTTGTTTGGATGCAGTGACGGGGCACTGCTGGGTACAGGAGCCACATCCCACCTAGGTGTGTGGTCCCTTGACCCCACAAACCTCCTCCTGCTTGAGTTTGGGGCCGTAATTTGGCTTTCTGGTATCTTTTACCCAAAAGTATAAAGAGCACAGTTGGAATGTGGCCACTGAGATCATGATGGGGCTCGAGGCGTGGTGGTGATGAGCCAAATGCAATGGTTGCTGTTGTGCCAATGCCACGGGGCATTGGGGCTGGGGGAGGGCGGGGGGAGCAGGGGAAACCAAATGTACACTGACAGAGAATGTATACTGAAGGATGCGTTGCAATGTATGGGAGTGGGAGCTGCACAGCAGATTCTGTCCCCACGCTGGTGTGGATCGAATAATTGCACGTCGAAAATGAGAGTTTTGTGGACATCCATACCAGCTTGGAGGGGAGGAGAGGCCAGCAGTGCTCTCCCCATCCTTTCTACTGATAAGGACACCTGCTGGTCCCTGGCGCCGGTGGGAATGCTGAGCTCATGGAGCAGTTCTGCATTTCCACCTGCATAAGGGACAGCTGGATTTGACCCAGCAGAGTCCTTCTAATGCACTAGATCAGATGAATGTACAGTCAGCACGTGCTTAATGCATGCTTCAATACGTGCTGGCTCTGGTGGTGTAACTGAGCCCAAAGCTGAGTGGACCGGAAGCCTCCAAGGTGGGTTTTGCTGCTGCCGCAGCCGTTCTGCTGCAATGCTGCAAAACTCATTGATCTCAGTCGTTTTCTTCTTCGGGGAGGGGAGTGACCGAGGCTTTGTAGTGGGATGGTTTGTGCAAGGATTTGGTCTTGCATCGTAATTACTGATCAAAGCTACTGAGCTCCAGCTACCTGCAGGGTCTGCAGATGGAGCGAGTGATGTGCGGCGGGGGGTGAGCAGGCAGCATGCAATGCCAGCGGCGCTGCTTGGAGGAGAGCAGGCTGCAGGGTTCCTAATACATGCTGCCCTATGAAATGGGAGAGAGAGCTCCTGCTCCGTGGGCAAGGAGTGGCCTCAGGGATGTCAGAAGAGCAGCACTTGGGGATTACGGCTCGGGTCAAACCCAGCTGTGCAGCCCAACAGGTGACAATCAGTCTAAATGAGCCCGGGTTTGTCCTCTACAAATCCCATCAAACTTGTCTTATTTCGTGTATCAGAAGATGGGATTGATAGCTTCTGCTGAGGAAGACTCTTCTGCCTCCTGACCCAGCCTTTCCCAAGCTCTTGCTTCTTCCAGCTCAGCCTGGCATTTGGAAAGCAAAGGGGCTCTTCTTGCACAGTTCCTAAACATCTCCAAAATCCTCCATGGCCGTTGCATTGCAGAGTACCTACCACGTGTGTCAGCAGTGCTTGTGGGGCGTGCTATGGGGCTGGAGAGAAGAGGGTTGGCTCTACATCTCCCACAACATTGTGCTGACTATCGGTGCATTGCATATATGTAATATTTTTTTATACTTCTATATATATATATATGGGCAGCGGAGTTGAAACCCAGCTTTGGAGTTGGGCTCCAACCCTACTGCCTGTCCCCTTGTTGTCCGTTGGTCCGTCCCCTGCCCTGGGAGCAGCACAAGGCACGTGCAGGAGGAGGCTCCCCACATTCTGGTGGATGCCTGGTCCCCTTTGGGCAGCACAGCGTGGCCGTGTCCCCACCACGAGGTCCAGAGGTCTCCACCAAAGCTTCTGCAGCTCCCACAGCCATTGCAGCGTTGGGACCCTCGCTGCAAAAGCAGCAGAACGGTTCTGCAGACACCAAGCTGACCTTTGGGGAAGCAGCAGCCTGCAAAGCCTATGGTTTCACCATGGCACATCCAAATCACTGCTGTCACTGTTGGGAAACGTCCTTGCCCTTCTTGTGCTTTGGCCAGGAGCTCAAGGTTGGCAATTGGGCTCCGATCATAAAGTTGACTCAGCGTGGAGCTTAACTCTTGGTACAGCCTGGGAAATGAAAAGCATGGCACTGGAAAAGCAATAGCACATTAGTACTGTTTATTAGGACGGCAAATTGTGCCAAAAAAGAGCTAATGATAACATTATACACATTCACTTAATAGCTAATTAATCTCTTCGACTCTCCTAATGTACAAAAGGAGCCTTGGGTTTGCGAGAACAACCCAACCATTTGCATTTATTATTTCCTATAATTGGGGAACTGGAAGAAATGGGAAGGCAAAAACCCACCTCACACATCGAGTTGTTCACCTCAGCAGATAATAATAATGAGATGATCATCTCCAGTAGTATTTAATTAGAAATGTCGCAGCTAATTGATTTCTGGGATATGTTAATGAAGAAATAATGAGGACCAGGTTGCAGCAAAAGGTGCCGGCGAGAAGTTTGAATCCCTCTGGAAGAAGTGTCCTTGGGCTGCTCCCCATGGGCTGTCACCCCTGGCCCTGGCCCTGCAGTGTGGGCCCTGGGCTTGGGACGCGAGCCCACGGCTCAGTGCTTGGTTCCTTCCTCCTACAGAACGAGTCTTAGGAAGTAACCAGGTCTGATCTTGCCACCCACATCCCTTTGGATTTCCCTTGCAGGATGGAGGCAGTGGGTGCCGACGTGTGGCACGACAGCCCCGATAGGTCCCTGCCCTGCTTCTACCTTGGGCAGCCTTGGTACAGTGGGCAACCCTCTCCACGGCAGGGGTTGGCACTGGATGGTCGTTAAGATCCCCTCCAACCTAAACTGTCCTGTGGTTCTGTGATCTCTGAGGTCCCCTCCGACCCAACCATTCCGTGATTCTATGATTCTACGATACAAATATTCTACGCCTTTGTCCCATGTGCTCTTACCTCCATGTGCTCTCACATCCCTGTGCTCTCACCTCCATGTGCTCTCACATCCGTGTGCTCTCACATCTGTGTGCTCTCACTCCATGTGCTCTCACTCCATGTGCTCTCACATCCCTGTGCTCTCACCTCCATGTGCTCTCACATCCGTGTGCTCTCACATCCGTGTGCTCTCACCTCCATGTGCTCTCACCTCCATGTGCTCTCACATCCGTGTGCTCTCACCTCCATGTGCTCTCACCTCCATGTGCTCTCACCTCCATGTGCTCTCACCTCCATGTGCTCTCACATCCCATGTGCTCTCACCTCCATGTGCTCTCACCTCCATGTGCTCTCACCTCCATGTGCTCTCACATCCGTGTGCTCTCACCTCCATGTGCTCTCACATCCATGTGCTCTCACCTCCATGTGCTCTCACCTCCATGTGCTCTCACCTCCATGTGCTCTCACCTCCATGTTCTCTCACCTCCATGTGCTCTCACCTCCATGTGCTCTCACCTCCATGTGCTCTCACATCCGTGTGCTCTCACCTCCATGTGCTCTCACCTCCATGTGCTCTCACCTCCATGTGCTCTCACATCCATGTGCTCTCACCTCCATGTGCTCTCACATCCATGTGCTCTCACCTTCATGTGCTCTCACATCTGTGTGCTCTCACCTCCATGTGCTCTCACCTCCATGTGCTCTCACATCCCATGTGCTCTCACAACCCAAAACTGCTTTTTGGCTATTTTTTTTGTATTATTTCTCAGCTGCTTTGCCTCCTTTCTCACTTTTCCTTCCACGACCTCGGGCCCGGCTCCATTCTTTTCTGCTCCACGCTCAGCATTTCTCTCCATCCCCACGCATCCGGAGCCGTCGCCCTCGAAGGCCTCAGGTTTACGCCGGGTTCCCACTCCCAGCCCCCGGCACCTCTTTGATTCCTGCTGGGAATCAGCCCCTTGTGACACCCTGGTGGCTCCCTATGGCTGCCTCGGGGGCTTCGCTCCCAGCCACGTCTTCCAGCCTCACCCCCTGGCACGGCCCCCAAACGCACACAAGTCTCTTTTTAACCTTCCTCAACCGATTGATCGACCGCAAACACTTTGTGTAACACTTGGACGTGTCTGGAATAAAAGCGTTTAAAGACTTTGTTGGCTATGGCAGCATTTGGGGGTGGGTGAAGGGTGGAAGCGAAATTTGGGTCCGGTTGGGGACTGACGGTAAAATTTGGGTCTGGGTGGACATTGGGCAGATGGGAGCAAAATTTGGGTCTCTTTGGGTAGTGGGGAAATTGGGAGCAAATTTTGGGTCAGGGCTCAGAGCTCAGCGTGGCCAATGCACTGATGCAAAGGTCAGCACAGATTTGGGGCTTTGGAAGTCTCATTGGCAGGATGTTTTATGTGCTGTTTGCAGAGGGGAACTGCTCTGGGGATGTGGCTTTTCCCTTTGCACGTAAGGCGAGGGCAGCCCCTTTCCAAACAGCAGGGATTATGATGTCTCTCTCTGTTTGACTGTTAGATTTGGGTATATTTCATTACATCTGTGCCTATCGTATTTATTTGTACGTGTGTAATATGCACACATCAACCCAGCGGATTGGTGGTTGGACTCGATGGGTTGATGGTTGGATTCAATGATCCGAAAGGTCCTTTCCAATCTTAATGACCCTATGATCCAACTTTAACGATAATTCTATATATATATATGATGGTTATAAATTTCCTTCCCAGGGGAGATGCAGGTGGGACCCTTGTCCCCCCCACCCAAATTCTGGGGCTCCAGCAGCGCCTGGAGCTTCTCCAGCCCCCAGCACCCCGTTTCTCACCGCACCAATGTCACCTTGGGACGCCCCTCCCTTGACATCCAATACCCAGTGCAGGTGTGACAGCTGCCAGCCCCCGAGCGCCGCATGCCTGTCATACCTGCAGTCACCCCCCCTTCTGCTTTCTGTCACCGTGTCACCTCCCTGACACCCAACCTGGGAGGAGGGGATGCTGCTGAGATGCCACCACGGTGCACAAGCCCTCCTGCATCCATCAGTCCCATGCGAGCCAAGCCCACGGTGACACCATCTGATGGCACCACAGCCCTATGGCCTCATCCTCATGGGACATTTCTGGGGTGGGCAATGGGGGCGGCTCCCCCCTCACCTCTCCAAGGATAACCAGACGTACTCAGAGCACATCTTGCTTTTTATTACCACGCAGTAACACACGCTACAGATGCGGACTACCTACGGGACGGGGAACGCACGCACACACGGGCACAAAAAAAAAAAAAAAAAGAGAATAAATTAAAACAAAACGACAACAAAAAAAAAAAAGAGAGACAGAGAAAAGAGGAGGAGAGAGGGGGGGGAAAAAAGGGGGGGAGGGCGGAAAGGAAAATAAAAGGGTTGGAAACATTGAGCTCGAAGGTAGGACGTTGGATGCGATCTCACGGCTGACGGGCGGTCCCCACGCGGAGGAGGCTGCACGGTCGTGTCCAGGGGTCCCGGCAGCCTCCTCTTCCTCCCGGGCTCAGCAGGAGAGCCCCAAAACGCGCCCCGAGGGCTGCGCCGGGCACCGGGCTCCGGGCGGCCGGGGGGGGGACGGATGGGTGCCGGTGGGGTGGCGGCGGCGGAGGTGACGTCCCTTAGAGTTCGTTGGGTGATGCCGCGCGCGTCCCCGCGTCGTCCCCCGGGTTCCTCTGCATGGCGGCTGCACCACGAGCCTGTCCCTGCCTTAGTCGTTGGAGGTGACGTCGATGTCTTCTCCGCTCGACTGCTTGGTGGCGAGGCGCCATCGGTTGATGTGATGGGAACCTTTCTTCTTCTGCTCCGAATCCGGCCCTTCCTCCTCCAGCTTTTGCCGTTTGTATTTCGTCCGCCGGTTCTGGAACCACACTTTCACCTTGGGGAGGAGGAGCAGAGAAAAAAAAATCCCATTTTCCTCTAAAAGTGACCCCCCAAAAAAAAGTCACACCAGGAGTGTGGCCATGGTCGCCCTGCCCTTCTTCACTTTCCCATTCTGATGGCAGGACCTGGGGTTTGGAGGGTGCCAATCACCCTGGCACTCACCGTTCTGGTGCCCATCATCCTGTCACCAACACACTGGTGCCCATCACAGTGGCAGCCACCACCCTGGTACCCGTTACCCTGGTGCCCATCACGCTGTTGCCCATCACAGTGGCACCCTGGTTACCATTACCCCGGTGCCCATCACAGTGGTGTCCATCACACTGGCACCCATCACTCCGGTGCCCATCGCCCTGGTGCCCATCACACCGGTGCCCAACACACAGGCACCAAAAAATAAAAGAATAAATTAAAACATCCCCCCCCTTGTCCATCACCCTGGCGCTCAGCACCATGAGCACAACGGCCCCAGTGGCCGTGGAGGGGTCACACAGAGCTGTCCCCACACACCCAGCCCAGAGCCGTGTCCCCATGCTGAGGTGGCACTGCCAGGTCTCGGCCGTGGTTCTGTTCAGAGTGCAGCAGGGCAACCCTTCATCTCCCTGCACCCAAAGATGGAATTAAAAAGGAGCATTTGGGGTTTAACCCATTGCATTTGCAGGTCGGTGTGTGCAAAGCCCGAGGGAAAGCTCTGAGAGGCACTGAGGTCGCACTGCAGATAATCAGGAAGCAAATGGAGGTTATGAATTCACCGTATTCAGATGTAAGGAAACCTATTTCACTGTGACAGCAGTCAAACATTTCCCAAAGAGCCGGAGAGGAGCAGCACCCCCATCCTCAGACCCGGTCACTCCTCATCTGCCTCAACCCACTGCCATCCCAGACAGCAGCCAAGGCACAGAGAGCTCCGTGTGGGGTGAGAGAGGCACCCAGACACCAAGAGGAGCATGACACTGCTGGCAGGATGCTGTGTATGGACACAAGATGCTGTGTGGGGATGCAGGATGCCATGTTGGGATGGAGGATACTATACAAGGACTCAGGAGATCATACAGGGATGCAGGATGCTGCGTAGGGACGCAATATGATGTGCACAGATGTGGGATGCTGTGCAGGGATGCGGGATGTTGCGCACATACGCAGGATGCTGTACGGACATGGGATGCTCTGTAGGGATGCAGGGTGCTATACAAAAGACACAGGATGCTGCGTGGGGATGTGGGATAATATACAAGGACACAGGATGCCACACAGGGATGCAGGATGCTGTGTAAGGACGTGAGATGCTCTGTAAGGATGCAGAATGTTGTGTAGGGACGTTGAGATGCTGTGTAGTGATGCAGGATGCTGTGTACGAGCACAGGATGCTACACAGGGATGCAGGATGCTGTGTAGTGATGCAGGATGCTGTGTACAGGCACAGGATGCTACACAGGGATGCAGGATGCTGTGTAGTGATGCAGGATGCTGTGTACGAGCACAGGATGCTACACAGGGATGCAGGATGCTGTGTAGTGATGCAGGATGCTGTGTACAGGCACAGGATGCTACACAGGGATGCAGGATGCTGTGCAGGGACACGAGATGCTGTGTAAGGATGCAGGATGCTATCAGTGCCCGCTGCTGCCCGCAGCTCCGGCCCTGCAGGACAGACAGACACTGTGTGCCACCAGGCGCCGCTGCACGGCCGCTGTTGCCAACCAGCGCTGTGTAGGAGGGAGCATTCATGTCCCAGCACTGCTGTCAACACGGACCGTGCTTCCCCGTCGCAGGGCACCATCCACAGGCAATGCTCTCCCTCTGCCTCGCAGCACAGCGAGGCCAAGGCCCTCCTTCTGCCTTTCCAAGGGCAGCAAAACCCTTTCAGTGCGCAGTGCAGTGAGCAGCACACAGCCCACGGCTGCTTGTTCCACTGAGCTCTGACCCCCAACCATTCGTTTTGAGGCATGGCCCACTTTAATTCAACCACGGCGGAGTGCTTGACAAACTTTAAGTGAAGCTCTCAGCCCCCCTGAGGGCCCAAAATGAGAGAAAGGGAAAGTGAGGCAGAAAGCAATGAGGACGCACGGCTGAGTTTTTGGGAACGGGAGCTGAGTGTGAGGAGTGCAGCATCCTCCAAGCACAGCTCAGCTCTGAGCAGCCCACCCCGATGGGACTGCAGCCCCCAGGGCCGCACTGGTAAGGGCAGTAACCTGTCCTGGGAGCCATACATGTAAACCCCAAACATGGGTTTTGTTCCTTCCCAAACCGACGTTAACCATCGTGGTGCCAAACGTCTGCGCTGCCCTGTGGGATCCCAGCTGTCCTGGTAACCAGATGGGCACCATCTCCTGGTGGCTCCTCCATCCCATTCTCAGCCCTTGGCAGCTGCTCTGCACACACACACAATGCTCTCCTGCACCTAATGCCATCCAGGCAGCGACAGCAATCGCACATGGAATCATAAAGTCACTGGATATCTTTGAGGTCCCTCCCAACCAAAGCCACTCTATGATTCTATTGAAGTCGGAAAAGACCACTACAATCATCACGTCCAACCACGACCCAACACCACCGTGCTCACCAAACCACGGCCCTAAAGCACTGCCACACACACCGAGAGATCCCACTCCACCACGGGGCTTTGTCCCAGCTTTGGTAACAAGGCCGTGCTGGGAGCTGAGGCTGTGACCAAACCAGGTGTGCCCACACAACCCCAGCAGCTCCAAGGACAGCGCTGTGGTTGCGACCCCCACAGCACAGGAGATGCTACACCCCTGGGCTCCAGCACATCAATCCTTGTCGTGGCACTGCAAAGCCCCAGCCACTCTGCACCTTTTTCTTTTAACAACACCCCAAAACTCAGCAGTTCTTTTTAGGGACACGCAGGGGTTGCAAAGGGATGGCCCCCAAAAGCAGCGCACCAACCCAAGACCACACATCAACGCTGACATTGCTCTTCAGGACCCGGAATGGTCTCCCAGCATTTATCTCAGAGTGCCATCTTTCTCCTCCTGTAACTCCCAGGCATTCGTGGGCACAGCACGGCTGTGGGCCATTCTGTTAATTATTACCATCGCCCCACGGGAGCCACGGTGCGCTCAGCCCTGCAATGGTATGGGGAGAAATGCAGGATGGCATCGTCCCACACCTCACAGCCACAGCCAAGAGGAGGGCTGTGCTTTGGGATGGAGACAGCGTGGGCTTTCTGCAGCTCCGTGGGGGTCTGTCCCCACTTGGGACACTATTATCCTACAACCTTACGGCTCTATAAGCTCAGGGAAGCGCTTTCCCACCCAGCCTGGTGATGTCAGCTCACCGCAGCAGCCTCACACCACCACCGACGGACACGGCAGCATCACCACCCACAGCACCCATCCCAGCACAACACCCTCCGGCACAGCACCCACCCGTGTCCCATCTCACCCCACACGCACAACCCACGTGTCCCACCAGCCCCACAGCGCCATCCCCGCAGCTCTGCGTCACCCCGCACACGCACACCCCGCAGCCGTTCCTCGTGCACCGCGGTCCCCGCAGGCGCAGCTCCATCCCCGTCCCACTCATGTTTGCTGAGGGCTGTGTGCTGCCCTTCTTTCCAATCCCGTTTTTCCCCGATCCTGTCTTTGCCCAACGCCATTTGCCCCCAATCCCATTTGCCCCAATCGTATTTTTCCCCTGTCCTGTTGTCCTGGATCTCTATGGGAAGGGGTTAAACACCTCTGCCCTACGCACGTTCCCCACGTCCCAGTGATGCACGAGAACTTGGGGACCCTTTCCAACTCCCTTGGGGTGCTGCAGGTGTTGTTCTCCACGAGATCAACCCTTGGAATGGAGGAACACCCAAAGGGATGCTCCAGGGAGCGCGGGTGCTTCCAGTTGGATTTGGGTGGATGGAAAGCAAAGGGGTGAGAGCAGCACTGCCACAGGACATACCTTACTATTGCATATAGCAGGTGACCACCGTACGGGCCAGTCCCGTTCACAGAATGCTAGGATCATAGGATGTAGAACTGCAGAGTATCCCGAGTTGGAAGGAACCCACAAACACCATCGAGTCCAACAATCCAACATTGGCGCATGTGGGTTGTTTCTTCCTGGGTAATTAATAGACTATATATATATAACTACATTTATGTATTTATTAATACAAATATGAAAGCCATGAAGCTGGAAGCACAGAGGTTTCCCCTCAACCCCTCTGCACCACCCCACGTCCTGGGGTTGATGACCCCACAGCATCCCCAGGCGCAGCGAGCCGGCACCGCAGAGCAGCCTGCACTGCGTACAGACAGACAGAAGCAGGCACCCAAACAGGCATCTATTGCCTCTCTGCCCTCCTCTTTGCTCGGGGGGATTTGGAGGCAGTGTGCGCCGTGAGGGGTCGGGCAGCATTCCCCAGCTCTGCTTTAATTTCCAACGAAATCATAAAAAAAGGAAAGGAAATAAATGAATACAAAACCAGGCCAAAAGGCCCAGAATGTAGAAACCATCTCAGCTGACCGCATTGCTGAATATTACAGGACGCAGCCTGGAGACTGAATTAACATTACGGGTGCCTCCACCCGGAGCGCCATGCAGCAGCCGCACGCCGGCCGCACGCAGCCCCAATTTTCCCCTTTGCACCAACAATTTTCCTTTTGCTTTCTGGGCCCTCCTGGGCTCCCTCATTTCCTACACCAAACGAGCCAAGCCTTCCCTCAAAGCCGAAAGCCGCAGCTGAGATGAGCCGTCCTGTTGGGTCGGCACAAAGACACCGAGCCGACGGGTTCCAACGGGCAACGGGGCGCCGCCGCCGCCGCTTTGGCCACTGCAGTTTAGTTTGGCTCGCATCAGGCAGAGAAGAAATAAGGCAGCACGACGGAGACCAGAGCGCGGGGACGCGGCATCCCCACCCCAAGCTGGCGCTGAGGATCCCACACAGCGCTCCTGGGGAACCGCTGAGCCTTCGGCCCGGCGCGTCTCCATCGCGGCGTGCTGCCCGCAGCCCCCATTCCACGGACGCGGGGGTGAGGATGGCTGCGCCATACCTGGGTCTCGGAGAGGCTGAGGCTGCTGGCCAGCTGCTTGCGTTCGGCGCCCACCACGTAATGGTTCTTCTCGAAGGCCCTTTCCAACCTCAGCAGCTGGGATGGGGAGAAGGCGGTGCGGATGCGTTTGGGTTTGCGGGCGAAAGGGCCGTGCAGGAGGAGGCTCTCCTGGGACACTTCGCTCCCTGAGGGCAGAACGGCGGGGTCAGGAGGGGGGAATGGCCCCGGCACCGTGCTGTGGGGATTTGTGCTGTGAAAAGGGGGGGAGTGTGGGGCAGCCCAGCGTGGGGTGGGGTAAGGAGGGGGGTGGTGGGATTTCGGAATCGCGGTCGCCGCTTTGGGAAGTGGAAAAGGGGGAGAGAGAAGGGGAGAAATGAACGGAGAGGGGGAGAAACGGTGAGAAGGGAACTGGGGGAAAGGGAAAAGTGAGAGAGGAGATGGAGAAATGAGAAAGTCTGAAAGGAAAAAAAGAGGGAAAAGGTAGAGGAGGGGAAGGGAGAAATTGGAGAAATGTTAGGAAATAGGAAAGCAGAAATGAAATTAAAAGAGAAGGGAAGAAAGGTAGAGTGAGAGAGAAAGAAAATGAGGGAACGGCAGTAACTGTCGTGGAAAGAAACAGAGAAAGAAATAGAAGAGAAAAAAAGGAAAAGAAAAAGAAATAAATGAAGGAAACAAAGGAAAGAGAGAGAAATAAAGGAAAGGGAAAAAAAATGTATAAGGGGAAATGAAGAGAAAAGGAGGGGAAGAAAAGAGTAAGAGAGGTGTTAGAATTGAATCCTCTGTGAGGTCCTGCGTGCTCCAAACCATGCTATGAAGGACAGGAGAAAGGCTGAAGTGAGAAGGGAAAGAGACCGAGGAGCTGAGGGGAGAAAGTCAGAGAAAGAGAGAAATAAGGGGAGAAAGAACAGAAAAGGAGGAGGAAGATGGGATGAAGGAGAGGGGGGAAGAGGGAAGGAAGGAAAGGAAAAAGGAATGAAAGGGTAAAAATAAAAGAAGAAGGGAAAAAAAAAAAAAAAAAAAGGGAAAGGAAAGGAAAAAAGGATAAAAAGAAATTAAAGAAAGGAAAAGAATTGGAGGAATCCGATGCAGAACGAACGGATCGGGGCAGCCGCTGTGGGGCTGTGAGCACCGGGAACTGAAATGGCACTGAGAGACTCCTGGAGCCAGGGGGGGTCGGGTGTGTGATGGGAATGGAGAGAAGCCAACGGGAACACAACCAGAACCCAACCAGAACCCAGCCATAAACCAACCAGAACCCAAACAGAACCCAATCTTGACCTGGTGATAACTGGGTGATGATACAGGGTAACCCCATGGGGTAGGAAAGGAAAGGAAAGGAAAGGAAAGGAAAAGGAAAGGAAAGGAAAGGAAGGAAAGGAAAGGAAAGGAAAGGAAAGGAAAGGAAAGGAAAGGAAAGGAAAGGAAAGGAAAGGAAAGGAAAGGAAAAGGAAAGGAAAGGAAAGGAAAGGAAAGGAAAGGAAAGGAAAGGAAAGGAAAGGAAAGGAAAGAGAAAGGAAAGGAAAGGAAAGGAAAGGAAAAGGAAAGGAAAGGAAAGGAAAGGAAAGGAAAGGAAAGGAAAGGAAAGGAAAGGAAAGGAAAGGAAAGGAAAGGAAAGGAAAGGAAAGGAAAGGAAAGGAAAGGAAAGGAAAGGAAAGGAAAGGAAAGGAAAGGAAAGGAAAGGAATGGAAAATGGAAAATGGAAAATGGAAAATGGAAAATGGAAAATGGAAAATGGAAAATGGAAAATGGAAAATAAGAAAGGGAATGGGAAAAGGGAAAGGAATGGATATGGAAATGGAAGAAGAGAAAGGAAAGGGGAAAAGGAAGGAAGAAGAAGGAAAGAGGTAAAAGGAAAGGAAAGAAAAAAGGAAAGAGGAAAAAGGAAAGAGGAAAAGGAAAGGAAGGAAGGAAAAGGAAAGGAACAAGGGAGGCGACACGGGGAAAGGAAGGAGGAAAGGGGAGAAACAGAAAGAGGAGTGGGAGAGAAAGTCAAAAATCATGAAAACAATTTTTCTCAAAAAATAAGAAACAAATTATAAAAGAAAAAGAGTGAAAGAAAGAGGAAAAAAAAAAACAAACACGAGAATGAATGAAAGAAAGATGGAAAGAAAGCAGGAAAGAGAGAAGGAAAGAAAGGTGACGGAAAGAAACAGAACGGAAAGAAGGGATGACAGAAAGCGGGAAAGAAAGAAGGGGAAAAGAGGAAAGAGAGGAAAGGGGAAAAGAGAAAAGAAAAGCGAAAAGACAAAGCCCGAAAAGAAAACCTCCGCCTCATCCCCGATCCCCGCGGCAGAATCCGACCGTCCGCAGCCCGGAGCCGCGCCGAGAGGAGCGCAGCAACAGGTCTTGGTGCGGGGCTGCGGGTCCCGGTGCGGGGCTGCGGGTCTCAGAGCGGGGGCTGCGGGTCCCGGTGCGGGGCTGCGGGTCCCGGTGCGGGGCTCACCTTGGAAGCGGTGCCCGAAGAAGCGGTTGCGCAGCACCCAGGGGTAGAAGTTGAGCGGGTCGCGATGCTGCGGTCCGAAGAAGGAGTGAGGGTGCGGGAGAGGCGATGCTCCGAGCTGATGCGGAGCGACGGGTAGAGCCGGATGCCCCACGGCTTCGGGGAAAACGAGCTCGGTGCCGCCGTACAGAGCCCGACCGGCGGCGGCGGCCCCTTGGAAACCGCCGGGGAAAGCGTCGGAAGAGGCGGGGGGGGGATAATTGAGGGCCGAGGGCCGCAGGGGTTCCTCGGGGCTCAGCGGGGTGTCCTTGGCCACCAGGGACTCGATGGTGAAGCAGCGCTTGGCGGACGGCTGGAACATGGTTTGAGCTCGGGGGGGCCGCGGCGGGGCTGTTCCTGCGGGTGCGCGCGTGTGTGTGTGTGCGAGAAAGCTCCCCCCCCCCCCAGCCCCCCCACCCACAGCCCCCCCCCCACGGGGCCGCGCACACGCGCACCCACCGCCCGCACCCCGCCGGTCGCCCCCGTACCCCGCAGCCCCCGCAGCCCCGCAGCCCTACAAATAGGGCCGGTACCTGGCGCTGCCCCCCCCCCAACCCCCCGCCCTTCCCCGCCCGGGCGGCCCTCACCTGCGGGTGAGGAGAGCCGGGGCTGGGGCCGGCGCTGGGAATGAGGAGAGCGCCCGAAAAACTGGACTGGAGCCGGCGGCGAGGCGAGAAGTTGTGGGAGCGGGGCTGCGGGCTGCGCTCGTTTCGTAGGAAATCGCTACATCGCTTCTTTCGTGCTGAAAATCGGGACGGCAGTACGGCCCCGCGGCTCCGCCGCTCCGCGATAGAAAGGTCGGAGAGCTCCCGTTACCCGCGCAGCCCCCGCGCAATGTCCGCGCAGCGCGGAGCCCCGCTTAAATCCCGGCCCGGCCCCGCTCCTCTCTGCGCTGGGAATAATAATAAAATGATATCAAAATATCGACGAAAAATCCCAAAGTCGCTGTTTTCTCTTCCGGAGCCGCGCTGAGGAAATTGATGCGCGGGCGCGCAGCCTCTCCGCACTTTGGTCCGTCCCGAGTTCACTCCGCAGTTTGGCTCTGCTTCGCCCGCCGGGACGCGGCGGAGTTTTGTTGAGGCGCGGAGGAGGGGGCAGCCCTCCCCTCCCGCACAAAGAGGGTTGAAAGTCTATTTTCCACTCCGCTGCGCCGAAATGCTCCGCGCGGCACCGCGGGGCCGTCAGTCCGTCCGTCCGTCCGTCCCCCTCATCTCCTCCCACCCCTCCTCCAAGCACAGCGCGGCCGCCCCTCGCCCTGCGCGCATCTTCCGCGCATCTCCCGCGCATCTCCCACACAGACACAGCGCGGCGGCAGCGGGAGGAGGAAAGCGCACGGAACTGCGCGGAAACCAAAGGCTGAAAACGGAGCGAGCGCGTCCGATGGAGCGCTTTTCTCGTTTAGTTTTCTTTTCAATTATTCTTTTCCTTTATTTAATTTGATTATTTTCCCTCCATGGAGGTGGAAGAGGGGGAAGGAAAAATTGATCTGGATTTTCAGTGGGGATTTCCGTGGGTTGGAAATAAAGGAGAGGGGATGTGAGGAGAGGGATGCGGGGTGCGGAGCGGGATGTGGAGCAGAGGGAAGGGAAGGAAGGGAGGAAGGGAAGGGGAAGGAAGGGAAGGGAAGGGAAGGGAAGGGAAGGGAAGGGAAGGGAAGGGAAGGGAAGGGAAGGGAAGGGAAGGGAAGGGAAGGGAAGGGAAGGGAAGGGAAGGGAAGGGAAGGGAAGGGAAGGGAAGGGAAGGGAAGGGAAGGGAAGGAAGGGAAGGGAAGGGAAGGGAAGGGAAGGGAAGGGAAGGGAAGGGAAGGGAAGGGAAGGGAAGGGAAGGGAAGGAAGGGAAGGGAAGGGAAGGGAAGGGAAGGGAAGGGAAGGGAAGGGAAGGGAAGGGAAGGGAAGGGAAGGGAAGGGAAGGGAAGGGAAGGGAAGGGAAGGGGAAGCAGGGCCAGTGCTCAGCTCGGATGCGGGAGTCGTGTGCTCAATTTGTGGCTTTGAATTTAATTTGAGATTATCGGATTGTGTGGAATTTAATTTCGTTTTTCCATCAAGTTCCCGTGCCGGGCCGCTGGGCAGAGAGGTTCGGGAATGAGATTTCGTTTGGTGAGGCTCTCGCCGGCTCTGAACATCCTTCACAGGGGTATAACTGAGCCGTGCCCGGCGCTGAATGCTCCGAGAGGAGCAGCACCTCTTCTCCACAAAAGCGTTTTTTGGAGGGGAACTCCTTTGGTTTAGAGAAAAAAAAAATCCCATCCTCCCCCCCCCCCCCCCCCCCCCATTAAATATGACAATATTATAAGGTTGGGTTTTGTTTGTGTTTTTTTTTTTCCCCATTCTTTTCCTCCGTTTTTTTTTTTTTTTCCAGCCCTGCATCCCGGCTGCTGCCTGACATCCAACCGGGAGGAGCTGTGCTGGAGGAGAAGGAGATTTGCTTTATAACGAAAGGAGGTGGCACTGCAGCCGGGGGACGCGGGCAGCAGCGGCAGAGGGCACACAGAGGATCCCCAGCCCCGCTCCGGGGGTAATGCGGGCACAGAGCGGAGCTGATCCCATTAAAACACAATACAACGGTTTTCCAAAGAGCAAACGAAAGCGGAAGGAAGAAGAGGGAGAGGGGGGCAGGACGGGCAGCGAAAGGCGGCTGTAGGGTGTGGGGTGTGGGAGAGGCTGCGGGATGCTCGGGGATGGACAGACGGACAGCTTGGGGCCAACGCAACGCCAGCAGGTGCAATGCTGTCCGCAGCCTCGTTAATCTGTAACACATCGGCCTCCAGCATCAAAGGGCAGAATGTGGAAAATCAGGCCCCGAGCCCCGGAGCGTGGCCACGGGCTCAGCTCGTTGCGATGTTAAAAGTTGACCAGACTTCAAAGTGCTGCATCATTTCCTGCCAACCTCCCAACCTGCCCGCTGTTCCTGTGGGCAGAGCCCATCCCCTGCCCCCAGTGCTTCTTCCCCCCACTGCGCTCCTATAGCCAAGAAGGGAGGAGGGAGACTGGTGTGGGTTTGGGGGAGCTGAGAAGGTCTGAAGACTCCAGAGCTGGGCTGCTCTCTGCTTTCTGCTCTTTGGCTTTTTCTTCTTCTTCTTCCTATTGAATTTGACATGGCTCAGTGCTGGATGGGAAGAAACTTTCTCTGCACAACCTGGTGGGCTTCGGTGGGCTGTTCTCACCTCCCCAAGAATCCCAAATTTCTGGTGGCTTTGTCAGCTGGTCCATTGCTGGTTGGACGGATGGACGGACAGACGGACGGATGGATGGATGGATGGATGGATGGATGGATGGATGGATGGATGGATGGGTGGATGGGTGGGTGGGTGGATGGGTGGGTGGGTGGGTGGGTGGGTGGATGGATGGGTGGATGGATGGATGGATGGATGGATGGATGGGTGGATGGGTGGATGGATGGATGGGTGGATGGATGGATGGATGGGTGGATGGATGGATGGACGGACGGATAGATGGAAAGATGGGATGCATGGACGAACAGATGGTTGGATGGACAGATGGATGGATGGATGGATGGATGGATGGATGGATGGATGGATGGATGGATGGATGGATGGTGGATGAATGGAGATCACACAGGAATGGTGGGTCTGATGGTAGATCCAGGCATTGCCAAGGATGAACGGTCTCCTTTTCATTCAGAGACTTGGAGAGTTAGTTTATAGGCTCAGGATGAGAGGAACCCATCACATAGCCTAGGAAGGGAAAGTCTCCAAGCCATACAGCTGCAAACTGTGGGCTGGAAGAGGTCAGTGTAGAAAAGACAGATGCTGCTGGATCCTCAGCCACCTATGCAGTGTTCACAGCGGCTTTTCCAAGGCGATGCATTCACCTGCACTGCCCCAGCACAGCCAAACACCAGCCCAGAATCCCTGTACAGATGTGGGATGTGATGTGATGGTGGATGTTCAACCTAATCCAGCAGGAAGAAGAGGTGGGAAAAGCACAAAAGCCAAAGGGTTTATGCAAAGCCACACACCAGTTGGTGAGAACAGATCCTCCAGGCCCTCGCTGTGCCCAAGATCCTCCTGTTCCTGTGTTGGATGAGCACTCAGAGGTGTGAGATCCCGATGGAAATACAGCTATGTGTCACTGTCAATTTTGCTCCTGCAAGGTACCCAGCTCTTTGCAGATATTTAAACCCCCCACATCCTGAAATCATCAGTGCTACGTCTTTTGTAACATTTGGAGATGGTTCTTCTAACATCTGGAGATGGTCATGCAGGTGCCCATGGTCCTGATGAGACCTTTCAGGTAGGAGTCCCCATCCCTGGGGGTATTTTAGAGATGCGTGGATGCAGTCCTGAGGGACTTGGTGTAGTGATGGGACTCAATAGGACAGGTTCATGGTTGGGCTTTGTGATCCTGACGCTCTTCTTCAACCCAAATGCTTCATTCTATGGCTCATAAACATGGAGACCTCTCCCTTGACTTCATGCAGGACCCTGAGGACAGTGTTCCCCATTTGCCTGCAGGTGTGCAGAGGGATAACAGTCATTCGCACTGTTCAGCTCCGTGTTCCCCAAGAATCTGAGTTCAGCCAGCCCTCCCCCCTGGCTTTGGGATGAAGGTTGGTCTCCCCTCTAAGCATCTCGCTTCAAGGCTGCAGGATGTCACACATTAAAAATGCTTTTCCATGCACTGCGGGGTAATTGCTGAGGCAAACACGCCTCTCTTTGAGTGTTCAACCGGATAGTTTCAACACAGGAAATTACACCTCCAGCCCTGGGGATGTTTGGGTGCTCCATTGGGTTGCACTGGAGCATGACCCCCCCATCGGGCCCCCAAGCAATGCCCCAGCTGATGGAGAAAGCAATGTCCCATCTGGGATTGAACCATCGCAGGGGTGAGGGGATGGCAGGTTGGACTCGATGATCACAGAGGTCTTTTCCAACCTCAATGATTCTGTGAGTGGGCACAGTGGTGATGGGTTGGCAGTTGGACTCGAGGATTGTTGTGGTCTTTTCCAACCTTAATTGATTCTACAGGGGAAGGTGTGATGGCCCCACAGACCCCAGACTGTCTGGTCACAGGGGTGATGGCAGACTTGGCTCCACAGCATGGTGCCGAGTGGCTCCGAGGTGATGTATCAGCCATCTACATAGATATCTAACTTACTAACACAATAAAACTGCTGGTCAGAAGCCTTCCTGCCTATTTTTCTCATGGAAAATGTCAGTGCTGGGTGCACCTTGTATGGAAATGTGGGGTTACTTCCACAGAGAACCCAGGAAATAAATGCATGTGTTCCCTCTGACCACTTCCAGACTCAGAACAGGACGAGACACGCACTGCATTGAGAAAGTCCCAATGTGCTGGGCTGGACTGGAGACCATTGGGCTTCTCCAGACCCATCCCCATTGGGATGGGACACGGAGGAGGAGAGGGGCTGGGTGCTCCTGGTGTGCTTCGTTCCGGTGCCAGGCTCCTACCATGCTGGGAGCTCCGCAGCAATGAGTTCCTCCTTCCTTCCTTCCCCTGGGAGGTGGTCGGAGGGGGCCCTGTGTGATTCATGTGTTTATTTTCCCGGGTGCCATATGAAAGGCAACCCCGTGTGTTTCCATACGAGGCGGCTAGGTGCTTCCAACACTGACATTCTCCATGAGAAAAATAGGCAGGAAGGCTTCTGAGCAGCAGTTTTATTGTGTTAATAAGTTTGGCGTCTATAAGCAACATATGTAAATGACTGATATACTGTCTTGATGCCATTTAACATTATGTTGCGGAGGTGAGAGGGAGCCAAGTCTGCAGCATTTCGACTAATATGCACGGAGCTGCCAATTTTTTTTTTTTTTTTTTTTTTTAAATTTCATTTTAATTTATTTTCTTCTCTTTTTTTTGGTAATTTAAAGAAGTCAGTGAGCTGATAACGACTCGGACCCTTCCGTCTCCGTGGCTGCTTGCTGGAAGATGGATAAACGTTGCGTTTGCTTCTCCCTCCTGGCAGCACTGGGATGGCAAAGCCTGGGATTTGAGGTTGGATGCTGGGAAAGGAATGGTTCGTGGGTTCACACACGTGTGGTTGGGACGCTCTGTAGGATGGGGTTATGTCTGCGGGCACTGGGGCTGCATCCCCATGCACAGAAACCAACCATTCGCCCCCAAATCCTTTTTGGGGATGATCCATGGGGGCCGAACATTACCCCGACCCAAAAACATTCATGTGGCTCCATCCCCAACACTGCAAAAGGGGAAAAGAGGATGGCGAGGAAGGCACGGAGCTGTGCCATGGGCTGCCAAGTACAGCCCTGCTTGGAGGTGCCAATGTCTCCATGCTTCCCCATCCCTGGCAGGGAGAAAAAAAAGACAAGGGGGGAAAAAAAAACAACACACACACACACACACACAGAGTTAGTTTCTTCTTCTCACAAGTAATTTTCAGTTAATTTATGTTGAATCAATGGTTCCTTGCAGTCATATGGATGGCAGGCTCCCAGCCATTATTAGTGTAAACAGATTTGTGAGCAATATATTTAGCTGTTCCATATTGCTTTTAGGAAATGTGCGCATTTCAATGGTGTATACTCGCAGAGGGCCATACCCTGCCACCACTCTGCAGGTGGGGATGGTGCTGTAGTGAGG